AATGATTAGAAGCAAAGCTCACATCTACTGATACTGGAACAACTGATAAAGATAATGTCCCTTCTTCTATTTCAGGACACACTTTCGTCATTTTTCCCGAATCTTTATCTGTTTCAACAACAATAAACAAAGAGCAAATCAAGAATCATTAAAAATGATTTAATTAAAGAACACGAGATTACTAAATGCTAGAGAAAATGCACTCAAGATAAACCACATAAGTGAAATACGGATCAATCTTTGAGGTTTGACAAAAAGTTTCAATTCTTTTATTTGAATTTGGAAGAAAATTAGCTCTATCTAAATTGGTAACACTAATTGAGAAAGAATCAGAGCATCAAAGACCAGTAAAAAAACAGAACAAAAATTTTATATATTAAAAAAAAAAAAAGTGGAGAATTTCTAACTCATGTAACCAAACATTGATGTCATGAAACAGGATACGATTAATTGAGAGAAAAAATGTAAAAAAAAAAAAAAAAAAAAAAAATGAAACAGGATACGACAAAAACTCAGGAGAAATGCAAGTAGAATCAATCAACTCAAGAAGAAACACAAACTTACGGATATAATCAAGACCCAGAAACAGAGAAGAATCTCAAGAGTGAAGAAGGAAGAAGTAGAAGAAGAATAAAGACAACTGGTTCTTTAGTGTCTCTCTCTCTCTCACTAGTCTTCGTCGTCGTTTGGCATCTTTTTTCTTTTTTAGCTTTTACAAAAGCGTCAAAGACGACAGGATAAATGGGCAATGCAGAGAAAAAAAAAAGACACACTTTTGGTTCTCTTCAACACTGCTTGTTCTCTCTCTTTCTTTCACGCCATCATCGTTAGAAAACCCAAAGAGTGCAAGAAAAAGAAGAAACGATTATTTTGTTTGACAGTGTCTCGTCTTTTGTTTGTTGGGATGGCAAAAGTGACCACGCGCTGTTACATGGCGTTTGAACCACACGCTCTGGCGCGAGTTGTCGTCGGGGCCCGACCCTTGGGCTCCACTGGATTTTCTCTCACACCTTCTTTTTCTCTTTTTCACATTATTGATTTTGTGTTTTCTAGTTAGCTTCTTTGGTGTGCATCTAATTATGATCCTTTTAACCACACCATTATTATTATTTTTGAATCTTAAGCAAAGAATCTAAGAAACTAAACTTCCAAATCCAATATATAAAGACTTAAAATCCGGTTTTTATCTATATATATAATGTTATATGACTCTGAAGCTACAAATACTATTTTTTTCTTAAGTATTTTTGAAAAATTAGATAGCAAAATCAAGACAAGCAGTGGATATAAGTGTCCAATCCTTTTACAACCTGTAATACCACATGTTTAGATCCATTTTACTAAAATTAGGATATCTCGTTTTCTTAACTAACCAATCAATATTCAAAAAGCTTATCCAAAGTTACAAACATTATTGTAGTAGACATCTTGGAGAATGCTGAGAGATACTGTAACATTTGGCGTGTAGTCATGAGTACTACATTTGGTGGAATCTATGTTTTTAGTTGAAAGGTCAAACTCAATTAGTTTTCCCCTAAAGGTAGCTATCCAACGCGTTAACATCACGACTTATCCTATACTTAACTAGTATAGTATAAGTTACATTTTTCATTTAATTTAAGATATCCACCCATTGTTTCATTTGACACCTTTTGTTTCACTACTTTGGTTGAATAGATGAACCGAATTATAGTTATGAAAAATTATGATTCCATATTTTATTTTATTTTTGTCATAAGACTATATATGTAGGTTTGTAATCATAGATTGTCACCTAAACCGTTTTCATTTATATAAAATATTTATATTTTTAACACAAAAAAAAAAAAAAAACACTTTTAAATCGGAGTCTATACATCTTTTTATCATGACCAGAACCCCTTTCATACAAGATTTGAACCTAATTTTTTAATCTTTGTCAATGACGGCAAGAAGTTTTTTAGTTAAAACTTTATTTCATCCAAACGTATGGCTGTGACATAAAAATCACTTCTACGCTAATGTATTTGCTAAAATTTATCTAGCTATTTTGATATTACGTACTGAATTAAACATTTAGTTAGGTTGATATTTATCAATTTCGTGGTCCATTGTTGTTTAATTCGATAACTCATCACGCATTTTATCATGTTTGGACAAATAGACAGAACAATTGGACAAATTATCATTGAAGACCAGTAGAGTGGGGCTATCTAGAATCAATTATAATACTTTAATGTTAAGGAGTTTCCTTAATTAAATTCCAAGAATTTAGGTCTAGCCGCCGTTGAAGGAAAAAAAAAAAACAAATTTCAGTCTTGCCTCTCCGGTGGTCGGTGCTTCTCGCCGACACCGTGAGAGGGCTTTTGTTTGATTGTTTTAGTTGTTATCTTGCTTTGTTCTCAGTCTACGCCGGTATTCTCTGTGATGATGCTTAGACGATTGGAGTTGCGGAGATGTCGCAATTGGATCTTTGGTGGCTGCGACGTCGGGTTTTGCAAGGATTTGCGGTTTCTCCAGAGTTTAAAGGTTTTCTTTGGCTAGTGTGGCCGGATGTTGGTGGATCTGGCTCGTGGCGAGAGAGAGTAAGCGGTTGTTGGTGGAGGTTCTGTCTTCTTGGTTCTTTTGGGGATGTGGTTTGTTTGGTTTTATCGGGTGAGCTCCTCCTTTCGTTGGCATTTCCATGGTTGTGCTTGGTGTAGATCTGTTAGTTTGTGTTGAAGGTTTAGTTGGTGTTTTTGGCTTGCGCAATGGTGTAGTTAGGCTTGATCTTGGTTCTAACTCTACGGGTTATTGTACGGCTTTGCTGTGCTTTCCGGTTTTAGTGTCATGCTTGCTCTAGCTCTCTGTTTTGGGTTCCTAGTTCTTCTTCGCCGAGTGCTACCTCTCGTTTGGGTGTGGTTTCTGGTGGGCTGGGTTCGTGTTTGAGGTTTGTCAATCGGATGGTACATCGTTGCAGGTGCATCTACTAGCTCTTCTCTAAAGCCTTCTTTGGTTTGTATGGTTGGGTTCAAGGCGCAGCAGTGGTTTCGTTTACTAGTTCTTCTCTTGCGAGGTCGTGACCGGTTCATGTCTGTAGGTGGCATTGATTGGTTTGCTTTGTCCGCGTGTAAGGGTTGGTGCTCCTCTTTGGCTTATCCTCAGCCGTTTTCAAAGGTCCCTCTTTGTGCCTAGTTTCGTTCGAGCTCATTATCCTTCTGAAGTTGGCGTGATGGTGCTTGTTGCTGTGCTCGCTTTTTAGCTTATTCCTTCTCTCTGTTCTGTCGGGTTGTGGCTAGTTGAGCTCTCTTATTAGTTCTTCTTCGGATTCTCCGGTAGTTTGGAGATTGTCTGTTTCTTTTCGAGGCTCATGTTTCTTGGTCCAGCTCCGTCGCCAACTGTTTCTCTGGGATTGTTTGAAGGTTATGTTGGTTTCGAGTTTCAAATTTAGTTCTTAGGTTCCTTTCGGGCTTGTCTTTTAGTGCTTTTGATTCTAATTTGCTTCCCTTCTTTGAGCTTAGTTTTCCGGGGATATTTCTGTGTTCCGCCGGCTTAGTTTCCGAAAGATTTTCGACTCTTGTCGGCCTAGTGTTCCAAAACCGTATTCTAACTTGTATTCCTCTTTTGTTTAATATAATGAATTATTCAGACGGAAAAAAAAAAAAAATTCCAAGAATTTAATAATCTATTCTCACTAAAGTTGTCAAAAAAGGGTAAGCAGAGCATGTGATATTTCAGGTCACGTTAACATGAATAGATGGTTCAAACATCATAATCGCACTTTTACTTTCTGTTTGTGGTATAACAAGAGAGTACTATAATGAAAGATGCATTTGATAGAAAAAGAAGAGCAAAAAAAAAGATGCATTTGACTTTAATTAGATACCAATCCATTTAGTTATTTATAAATTAAGTTTGTAAGCTGTAAAGTGTTTCTTACTTAATTCCTAGATAACTCTTTTTGGTGCCTTAATGATGTGTTTGTGTCATCTATGACTATAATTAACTCTGAGCATTAAGCATATCCATGGGTCCATGTAGAATCCAATGATACCAAACCTACTCGCCATCACTTTTTTTCACTTCTCGTCTATTTTTTTTTTCTTTTGTTGTCTAGTATTACTTATTGTCTACAAAGACCACTTGTTTTCTTTTATTTTTTCTCTAATCTCTATTGATCGTAAGTGTTAATAAGAGCTAACAATTATTTAATTTGATAAAACAAGAACTGCATTTGTGTTTAAAGTTGTTGTGGAGAATTTTTATTTTGTTTTATACTGGATCACTAAGTTTGCGTACGTAGACAATATTGATGATATGGGTAAAGTACGTATTGGTGATGACTTAAATCTGTTGCACGTAATTGACTTCTTATTACCTTCATATGTGCTCTATAAACTTGGTGCAAATTCATAGATTTGTGTTCGTTTTGAACTAGCTAGAAATTTCAAGCTACTAGGCGTAAATAGCCACAATTTTCAGGTCGATTCAATATTAATTCATTTTGTGACTCGCCTTGTGATTTTCTGAACTGCATGTACAGAAATTTTGGTATATTGATGGATCGGTCCAAGGTGCATGAACAATCTTAGATATACTTGATAGAAGTTCAGTTCTCATAAATATACTTGATAGAAGGTTTCCAATAAAAACAATAAGCTAAAACTGGCTTCACTTACCTTTAGGTTTCAGCAAGTATCTTTCCGGAATATATAGGTTTTGGAGTAGCTGGTCTGCAAAGAATGGCATGAGCATTTCTCTGCGAAACCTTCCACTTAGTCTTAGCTTGATACTCAATGAGCTCACCTTGAGGAGACTCTTTAGCCATATAAGATTTGATTCCAGACATATCAGACCCTAGCCTAGCTCACAACATGATCAAACACTGAGTCCTTTGTGTTGGTTGTATTTATCAAGAGCCAACTTCAACGTTTCATCCATGTACTCACGTCCACTAATGTTGGGAAGAAACCTACCATCGAAATTAAATGGAAGGAATCCGTGAAAAGATCGATCTGGAACGATTTCTCCTTCATCAATTTTGATTAATCAATAAACAAGTGGGTTTGGTGGGCTTTGTGAGCAGTGGGCTAAGATAGAAAAGAGGTTTCAGACAACAGAAAAAGAAGTGTATGACGTGGCAGGAGATCATTGGTTGGAAAAAAGAGATTGGCGGGTGAAGTTGTTTGTTGTACCGTCGACGGATTTAGGGTTAATTTTGGTTTAATGAGCCACCGTGTTTCGATTCTATCATCTCATTTCTCACCTGTCTCCGCCGTCATGGCTTCCGAGAAAGAAGCTGCTCTCGCCGCCACTCCTTCCGATTCTCCCACCATGTATGCCTTTTACTTCAATTGTTGATTCTTTCTCTGCTCGATTTGTTTGTGGATCATCAGTCAAAGCTGCGATTTTTATTTGAATTGGATCTAGTTGTAGCTTTATTGTTCCTCAATTGCTGCAGTTCCCGTTTGTTTAGCTGAAAATTTTGTAAGGACAAAACAAAAGCAAAGGCTGTAGTGTAATGTACTAGTTGTGAAGTTGGTTCTTCCGACGAAACCCTTTCTGCTAACTCTGTAATGATGGATGAGTATTGTGTGAATATATATTTAATTGAGACTGATCGTTGTTTGGTTGTAGCGACTTAGAGTTTGTGAGAAGAAGCTCTTTTTATAGCTTATATGTGGATTTTAGGTTTATAGTGATACTGAGGCTTTTCTCGGCTGTTAGATTGAATTTCAAGATTTTTAGTTTTCTTCTATTGACAGATTGTTTAGTTGTGTTGAATTAATTGTTAACGTTTATTTACTTTATGCTGCAGATTTGACAAGATCATCAGCAAAGAAATTCCATCCACCATGGTTTATGAGGATGACAAGGTACTTTTAATTCTGTAACCCTTTTTGATACAAGCGTCTCCTCTGGAACATTTAATTATGCAATTTTATGAAGTTAGCTCAGTCTGCTTGCCATTTGAAGCACTGTGAAAATAAGCATTCTATGAATTTTAAGTATGAAGATGGCCTCTGCTTGACTATGTTTTATTTTCTGGATGAAATGTCTTGAGTTAACAACTGAAATTCGTAACTTAATATCTCTACCACTTTAAAACTTGTCAGTTGTTGTTCATACTTCATTAGTACTACTGTTCCTAGCATGTTTACTCAAATCATGTTGCATGATTTTGCAGGTCTTAGCTTTTAGAGACATAACGCCCCAGGGTCCTGTTCACATCCTCCTTATTCCAAAAGTGAGGGATGGCCTAACTGGACTCTCTAAGGTACCTATTTCACTTTACACCTCTCAAATAAAATTTAAATAAATGTGCGGCTAAAAGCATGGCAATTGTTGAACTCGATCCCATTTTGAAACACAAGCTAAATAATGTATTGTTCTGCTATTGCAGGCTGAGGAAAGGCACATCGACATCTTGGGCCGCCTTCTCTACACTGCTAAGCTCGTAGCGAAACAAGAAGGCCTAGAAGAGGGTTTCAGAATTGTGATCAATGATGGTCCACAAGGCTGTATGTGTTTTATATATAGTTCCACTTCTTCAATTAGCCTATTCACATTCAACACATGACAAAACCAAGGGACATCATGATTGATGTTTCTCATGTTCTTGTGGTTTTTGTAGGTCAATCGGTGTATCACATTCATGTTCATCTCATTGGAGGACGTCAAATGAACTGGCCTCCTGGCTAATAGATATCATCTTGAAGTGGATTGTTGTCCTGATAATAAGAGGGACGCTTAGAGTTTGATCCCGTCTTCTTCTACTGTCTCTATAAATAAAAAAAAACTTGGGACATGAGTTTTATGATTGTTATGCAAAACCTTGTTTTATGTTATGAAAAGGATATTTGACTGTTTTCTCTTCTGGAATCTTGTGGTTGGTTGCTTTTTCTCTATTATTAACTCCGTAAAAATTGTCTGCGTGTAAAACTTCAACCTTTTGAGAAACCAGAGTGCCATCTTTGAAGAATACCAGAGACGCATGAATTGACCTTGTAAACATCCACTACGTGTTCATGAGCATCTGACATAATATTATATAAAAGCTTGGTAGCAGTCACGTCTTTGACATTTTCATGTCTATATAGACCTTCTCATTGCCTGCAAGTAGAGATTTGGTGGGTTTTTAATTCTTAGTTTCCATCTGATCCTGATTTTAATCAGAATCACACTTGAAGGTGCGTAACAATACATACCGTGTGGTTCCACGTTTAGACTTTTCTCCTATAGTCATTTCACAAGAATCGTTTCTCTTATCTTAGATTTCTTTTCCAAGTTTACACTTTGATTCATGGCGGAGGAGAAACCGAGGAAGAGCCTGACCAGCAGTGGCAGCAGAGGTTCTCTCAAGACCAAGAATCCGTTTAGCCGTGTGAAAGACGAAGATGACAACAAAAACAAGACAGGATTGTCGATGAGGAAGTCGTGGTCCACGGACTCACTTGGTCTGCTCAGCAACAGCAACCGGTTGGGGATGATGGTCTGTATCTGTGCTCCTACAAAGCACGAAGGCTCGTTCCGTTGCAGGCTTCACCGTTCATCAGCCACAAGCCATGGTCCAGCTACTACGCAACTTCATCTTCCAAAGCCCTTGCTTTCTTCTCGTCGTCTCGATGACCAATAATGTCACATAGTCTCTTTCGTTATTCACAAAACCAATATTGTACGGTCCTGATTGTATTGAAGATTGTTTTTTCTATTCATGTAATCATGTGTTCATATAAAACATGTACTTATGTGTAATGCGTTTTTAAATTACTTTTTTTTTGTGGTGGTGGAAAGGTCACACATGTTTCTTGACAATAGTGTATAGAGGAAACCTTATAAGGAGAACAAGATTCTTAAGAGAGAACACAAAAGTATACAAAATGCTAAGTGTATGTGAATATTTTCTCTGTTGACATGCAGAAACTAATTGACATTCATATATAATGGAGTTGATCATTGATTTCTCCATCAAGCTATGATCAATTCGCAGTGTCACATGCCCTCTTAACCTTTAAGAACCGCCAAATACCTGAATCAGAGAAAAAGAATATAGACAAAACCATAAATTTGATAACATATTCATGTAAACGAGTCGTGGTAAACCGGAACAGCCAATGCAAACCATAGTGGGGTCAGATATATATGATAGATTTGGGTTGAAAAGCTGAACACAGATACTATACGAGTCTAACCAGCACAGTAGATATTAATAATCATTTAAGCATAAGATATAACCGATTGAGTATGCATACTGATTTGAGCCATTAGGAATACCAATGAGGTTTATAAACGCAAGTTGGACTAGCAATGCATTAGTTCAACAGGTTTCAATGTGGGCTCGATTCAGGTTTAAGACATTGATCTACCCCAGCTAAGCAGCTACTATATATGTTGTTATGTAGACGACCTGTGATGATTCTCACTTAATTCTACTAAAAAATCTTCTTTGTTCTTCACAAATAAGAGAAAAAACTACTGACCGATGCTAGGAAATCAGTGGAGAGCCCAGGCTTGCTCTGAGATGTCTCATTTTCAATTGATTTCTTCTGTCTAAAATGGCGAATCACCCTAGGTGGAAAGACTGGTGCTGCTTCAGCATTGCTACCCGATTCTTCCTGAATCTTTCGTTTCTACTCACCGAAAAAACAGAAAAATACAAACCAAACATCAGGTTAGAGTAGTGAGATTTACAGAGGGAGAAACGACCAATAGAATTCTTCCAATAGAGTCAATTCTAGAAGTTTTGATAGCATTTACTTCATGGATTTAGAATTTATAAAAAGATCACAAGCTATAACGTTCAGACACGCAGACATCGACCATATAAGAAAGAGTATTTCTGAATTCCGTATAAGAAAAGAGTATTTCTGAATTTACAATATTAGAAAGAGTTAGCACCTTTTTCATTCGTGCATCTATCTCGGTCATGGCACGTGACTTCTCTATTTTAGATAGATAAAAGTCCTTCTCCCTCTTTGCAGCAGAAAGAACCATATTTAATTTCTGTTCCCGTATTGCGCTTTTGTATGCTGCACAAAGCAATCCCTTTGTAGATTAGAGATCATATTATGGTAAAGAAGTTAAGCAGAGAAATTGTGCGGTTAACAATACCGATTTCTTCAGTAAGATCATCCCATTTAAATTTGGTCAAGTATTTGATGTTCCAAATATCATAATATACTGATGACTTCTTTTTCCCCCCTGAGAAAAGAAAACAGCAAACATTAATAATCATTTAAGCTTAGATTTAACCTGTCGACTATGCATACTGATATGATTCATTAGGAATACCGATTTGTTCTCCATTTAGCATATCTGCAACCCGTTTAGCTACGCTTTTCTTAGCAAACTCCACCCACCTATAGTTAATGAAAAGAATCCAAATTATCAATGTGGATAAGTGCTTTGAAGTTCTATACGGATATTCAAAAGTAGAACATTACAAACAGACAAGGAAAAAGCCAGTAACTAGCGGGAAACCCATATCCTTAAACATACCCTTCAGAAAACCTTTGCCCACGAAATCCACCAGCACGCTTGCGGTGAACTTGTGCTTCAGAATCTGAATAGAAATTGACTAATGTATCAGCTAACTTTTAAATACAGAAACGCATATTAACATGACCAAGATGTGTTTTTGACGTTAAACAAGGAGTCAATAGGATAAAACATCACCTTCAGGTGCAAGATAAATCCTTCCTAATTCTCCAAATTGAGCGAGAATATGGCGAAGTCTAACGTGATCCATATGTGGTGGGATACGACTTAAGTAGCAAACCCCTCTATTGTCAGCTTTAGAAGCTTCCTTAAGCAATTTCTCTTTCAACTTCTTTTTCTTTCTATCAGCCTTTTGACTCTTCTTTGTTTCCTTCGACTCCTCCTCGGAGATTCCATTCGTAAGGTCGTGAGATTCCTCAGTCTGCATCTTCATCAGCAGCTGCTGAAACCATCACAAAAACTATTTTTCAATTGAAAATTGAATAAAGTCTGAATTTTTTTTTATCAAATCTACTAGTGTTATTCTCGAGAGTTTCTAGCTACATTGAAATTATAGGACTAACACCAACAATTGCATAAATGTGTGGACTTGCAATTCGTAACTTCCAGATGAAAGATACCCTAAAACCCTAGACACCGGAATCAAAAAATTTTAATTCCTCGACCTTCCTCTAATCGGGTTTTTGCAGATGAAAGCGCCCTAAATCACTAGATAATGGAAAACAAGATGAATCTTCATCAAAATATCAACCTTTTCTTCGTTTCTGAAAGAAAACAGGAAACTTAAGTAATTAAGAAGAAGAAGCTAGTGACGTCGGCGAACTGGTACTCTCTGTTCGGAAGAAGAAGAAGAAGAAGATGGTGTGTAACTTCGTTCGCTTGTTTAGGGTTAACAAATCCGGTTCTTGTAATGATAAATGTACTAAACCGGTATTTTCGGTATCCGGTTATTGTTATTTCGGTTAATCAGGTCCGAACCGGTCCATCACATTCGAGTTATCGGCTTATGAGAGTAAACGTTATTGTAATGTTTTGGTTTAGTATTAAAAGTTAGGAGATGTTACCTATTATTGAAAAAAGAAAGATGTGATAATTTATATACCACATCGGAGAAGTGAGAGTGTTTAGCTCTTTTAGTCAAAAGTCTTTACAAATTCCTTCATGATTTTTTTTTTTTCCGGTAACAGTTAAAGATCATCCTTAAAAACAGAATCATTACAATCCAACAAAAATGTGATGAAGAGAATAAGAAGCTAAGGTGAAGAGAAAGAGTTGGATGTCAAACAGGATCCAAAATCTTTGCAGCCTATTCGGATTCAGTAAATATGGGTTTAATCGTCTTGCCAAAAATATGGCATAAAACCCAATCAGTATCTGCTACTGTTTGTGGGAGGCTAATTTCATCCATGAACCAGTTATACTTTGGAGCTTCTTCTTCATCAGACAAACAAATATTATCAGATTCTTCTTCTTGCGCAATGAGAGTAAGCCGACGTTTGATACCGACTAAGGCACCATTATTCTTTGGATCTAACACATTAGTTTCTTCTCCGATTGGTGTCCAGAGATTAGGAGAGTTACTAGTAACTTGGTTGTTACGTTTTCTGCAAAAATAGTACCAGTGCTCTTCTTTTGGATAGCCTGAAAGATAAGAAAGAAACAAAATTCAATTACTCATTCACACGATAAATAAAGATGGGTTTTTTTAAGAAGTTTTGATCTACGAATTCTCACCAGGAAAATCACGAGGATGTCTCGAGAAGACATCATGACACTCTTCAGGTACCGTACGAGCTTTCATGGGTTGTCCTAAAGCTTTTTTCTTCAAGAAATAGTTTGCAATCTCACAGTTTGTAGGACGAAACCTGAATCCTACGGGCAAAGCTTTGTGTGTTGGCTCCATTCTAAGTAAAAGAAAGAAAAAAAAAAGAAGAAGGTGAAACTGTGATTGAAGCAAACTGAAACTATAATAAGGGGGTATTATCGTTTGTGATTTAAATAGAGTTTTAGTGGCTTAAAATGTTATGTAGAATCTGTTGTTATTCAATCAAGATTTTTAAAAATTATGTTAAAGTTTAGTGTTATTAGTTTAAGATTTGTAAAAAGTAATCTGAAATCCTCATAAATCTGGAGTTATTGGATTCATACTTTTATAAAGTCAATAAATTTTCGTGTTATTCAATTAAAATAAAAGAATCTATGATTGTTAATGAATTAAATTATTAAGTTATTGGTTTATAACTTTCTACATTTTTTTCATAAAATAAAGTCATGAAAATATCATCAAAATAGAGAGATTATTTGGAAAACTTTACAAGATTATGAAAAACTAATCAACAAGATTATAGAAAACTCTCTAGCAATAATTTAAAATTTTTTATTTATTTACTTTTTATGATTTTATTAAAATAATTAAAATTTCTTGTAAAATAGGAACCGATAATACTCTCTAAAATTTGCTCTCATGAGCTACGTATTTATAGAATATAAATTTGTGATATCCCAAATATGAGAAAGTTAACGAGACTACATTTCTTTTTTCTATTTCTAGTCCTTGATGATGTAATTGTAGTGTTTCCAAAGTAATAAGGAAAGTAAACTAAAGTATTTCCATTTTATTTCTTTCACCACGTGCTATGCACATGTTGCACTATCCAAGCCGGTATTTTCTAGTCCTTGATGATGTAATTGTAGTGTTGAAAAACTCTTCACTAATACAGACGCATTGTGTTCTCAACATGATCGGGAAGAGTCCAAATTAATACAGAATTGTGACGCCTTCTTTCTTTCGAGTAAATCCCTTCGAAGTCAACATATATTATACTATTTCGCTTTGGATCATAATATAAGACACATAACTTGTCATCAGAGAAGTATACAGTGTTCACAAAAACTATCTCACCACCACGAGTAACACCAGAAACTCGCCATTTCTCAAAACCCTCCATCTCATAAAAAAAAAGCTTGGACCATATTTGTGTCTTCTGATGGCCATCCTCTCGAACCCAAATTTCCACACTCTTCCCGCAACACACGAATCCTAACTTCCCTTGGTAGTTTATCAGAAACGAAAAGTGATCCATCAATGTATTTGGAGCGTCAACATGACAAAATTTCTCGGTTCTAACATCAAAACTCATCAACATATAAATAGAAGTAGAATCATCTTCTGTAGTCTTTGCTCGGTAATAAATAACCCCATTGATGCAAATTGCACCAACCAACGGAAAGTGACATCTAAAGCCTTCGATGGTCCTCCAATGTGAAAACTTGACAACCTTGCTCCAAATAGTATAGTGGTAGGAACAATATTTTGTATTGATTTTCGAGAGGATCGTAACCGAAAAAGCAAGTGCCCGTGCTCGAGGTTTTTATGCTCTTTGGTAAGTGAAAAGACCGTCTTGTGGTAGGGTTATATATAGCTGCCTCACGACGATGGTTAGACCAACAACAAATCAAGCCGCGCACGTATTGATACATAACGTCGGGGATTAGTAATGATTTTTTGTCAGTATCTTGAGGGCAAGTATTAGACGAGAACACTAAGAACCATTCGTTGGGGTGGCCTGAATTATGCTCGAAGATGAGATGGGCATGACGAGGAGGCTGAGTCAAAGACCGAGTCACGATCGAATCTATGAAGTCTCTACGTCTGCTGATAATTGCTGACCATTGCTTCGAGACGCATTGGAACTTCACTAGAGATTTCGCCGGGAGTTTTTTTAGTATCTCCACTGTTAGATCGATAGGAATATTGATGTCTCGTGTGGAGATTCCACCGTGACCAAGTTGTGTCGGGGATGGTGAGGTCTCGTCGCTCTTCTCTTCGCGTCCTCTCTTCATCACGACTATTTTGTGAAACCCTAGAGGCTAGAGCGAAGGAAAGAAAACGAGAAATTTTAAGGACCTGTATAGGCCTATAGGGATGTTAAAAGTGGTCCGGTTATCGTTATTCGGTTATTCAGGTCCGAACCGGTCCATCACTGAGATAATAATTTATTATCTCACACTTTGTTCGTCTCTCCTTGGTTTTACCGAGAAATCACCTGAGTCTCCGTATGTATTAGGATCAATCCGTTTGGGATTTTGTTGCTAAATTATCAAACTTTGAGAATCATCGTGCGTGCATTGCTCAAATTGTAACCTTTCGGATCGTTTGCAGATTCGACTATTTAAAAGCAAGAGATGGACGCTGGTTCCAACAGGTTCCTGTCTACGCTTAGATCCCGATCTGGTGAGCTTACCAATCAAAATTTGGCCTCTTTTTGTTACTTCGTGGCTTAAGTTGCTAAATCAATTGATTAGAGCTTGCAAGTTAGATTAATATGTTCTTGTTAGTTATGCTAGTGAGATAAAAATTCAGATTCATATAGTAGTGTCTGCTCTCTTTTGATTTGATTCCGGCTCTAGTTTGTGTTACAGAGAGGTTGTGTTTATGGAGCTGTGATAGATGTTTTTTGCTAGTGAATTTTTTTGTGAAAAAAGACAGTGAAATCTAATGTTTTTCTCTCAAGACTTGATGCCTTTTCTTTTAAGACTCTTCAGAGAAATATTATCTTCACTTATTGGTTTTAGCTTGTTTCTTTATAGTTCTGTACTTCAGTTTACATTTGAGCTTACTTTGATTCTGAGAAAGTGTGGGAAAATGCACAAAACTACAATCTTTTTTCTCAGGATGTTAAAGTAATGTTGCACTATTTCTTGAAATGCTTTGTTTGAGAATTTGAGTTTTGATCCTAAAGTTCATGAGAAATTAGATGAAATGTTTGACCTTTTCCTGTATTATGCTCATAACTGAAATGATCTTCTCACCTTTTGATGCAGAGATCTTAATGAGCTTTGATGAAATAGATGGAGGCGATGATTTCCTAAAGAAGTTTGCTTTCCCATTTTGTGCAGAGTCATATGATATCATTGGCTTGTGCTGACACATAGATGATGGACATTTTTTAGAGTCAAAGAACCGGGTATTCTAGGTAGCTGCACTCTTGAGCAATTCATCTTGTCAATTTCCTTCACAAAATTTTCCCGTCAAATCTCATGATCTGTTGAATTCCCTAAGGAGTTCTACTTGCAGCTAAAGAGAAAGTCACAGAATAACCGCGGTTCACATTCAATACTTTTTCTTCTTCGGAAAGAGTTAGCACTTCCTTCTCCAATTGGTACAGATGTAACTCATGATCCTGCTATATTGGTTTGTTGGACCTACACGATCACACTTATCTCAAATGATGCGCCAAACCAAGTATATATCAAAGAAGAAACAGCTGGAATGGTAAGGCTTCTTCCATATTCAGGATTTCTAGTAGCCATTTTAGTCTTGACTTGTTCATGAGAAGCATTGAAACTTGTGCAGCAGTAGACAAGTGAGAGCCTCACCTGTCTCAACAAAGGATCAGGAAGGGCAGACGAAAAGGTCTGAGTTTATTCAAAGGCCTTGACGGCAGACATACTCAATGAGGTGTAACCGAGCAAAAACAAAGATCGAGGATGCAGATGAGCTTAATGAATCTTCTGCAACATCAGACTTAAAGAACCTGGTATATACGGATATCTAATTTCTACTTCCATTGCAAAACTTCCACAGATATGTTCTAATCGGAATCTTGATTCAACTATATGGGGTTTCAGAAGAAAACAAATGCATAGGAGAAGATGAAAAAGAACAAGACATCTGTAACGTGTTGGTGTATGTTTGAAGTTTCAGACGAATAGAAAATGTTGAACAAATTGTGTATAAATGTGGTATATCAAGGCATTAAAGTCAAGAAAGACGGAGGGAATTATCTCTCGTTTTGGAGAACATTGAAACAGAGCAATTAGCAACTAAGACAGGAAGAAAATCTTCCTCTGTTTTCTCTTTGATAACAAAATCCAGAAAGGCATAAAAGCTAGATTGAGGGTTTGAAAACGCAAAGCAAAATGAAAAAGTGTGAGCAGGCTGAGATCAGTTAATGTTTTATCATTCCTTGTGTGTCGAAGAAGCCTTCAAATAAACCATAATTGTTGGATTCTTCATCTCCATCTAGTGGATGTGGCTTAATGAAATCAGCCAAGAAATCTTCAAAATCTTCTGGGATCACTGGTTGCTGTTCAAAGCTGATCAACTCAGAAAAATGATCCAAGTCATAAGGAAAAGACTGCGGCTGATACACAATATCATGAGGATGCGATTGGTCCGATTGATGCAAATCCAGCTGCTTAACCTCTTCTTTGAATACGACTTCTTCTTTCTTCAGCTTCTCATTCTCTTCTTCCTCTGCTTTCTTCTTCTTTGCTGCCGTTGGAGTCAGATAAATCTTGCACAAAACATGATCTACCTACACACACCAACCAAAACAAAACTCACAATCTTAATAACTTGGAACCCAAGTAACTAAACACACATACTCTCACCTTCTCGTTGTTGTTATCATCTGAAGACTCAAACCAGTATTCATGCATTAACCAATCCCCTTTTACACCATTGGGTTGTTTCCCAACGTAGTATTCTAGTGAGATTTTGTAGCCGACTATGCCATTTCCAGCGTCAATCCTCTTGGTAGCTACAGTTGCGTTCCAATATCCTCCATTGGCGACACGTTTCTTATTTCTTCCAGCTTCACCGATCTTGGTCCTCTCCGATATAAAGAACCATTCTTTATCATTACCCTTCTCATATTTCTCTGTTTCGAATCAAAAGAACAGAGCCATTCATACACATAAACCAACAAGAAATAACCACGATTCGAGAATAAAGAACAGAGCCATTAATTGACGGAGAAAAACCTGAAAGCTGTTGTGGATTTGACTCGTAGATGTTCACGTGATTGATAGGAACATTGAGAAATGAGCATTTGTTGCCTTGCGAGAAGGGTTTCAAGTAATGCAAGATGAGTTCTTCGTCATTTGGTACAAATCTATAACCTGGCGGGAAAACGAACGGGTTCGTCGACGGAGAAAAGAAGTTATCAGCGGCAGAAGAAGGAATGTCGGAGTTGTGTGGTGGTTCCGGCGAGGATCGTGCTTTGCGCTTGTTTCTTTGTGGAATCGCCATCGAGTGGTTTCGTTAGAGATTTCGCAACTGTGATCGATGGGCTCTAACAAGATACGTAAGTTATTAAATACTGACTCGATCACTATTGGCCATTGGGAATTGAAAAATAATTAAATGAAATAATGAAACAAAACAGATGAAAAGGAGGTTCGTATATAATGAAAATAAAATAAATTTCTATAAAGATTTATTTCAAATAAAAATGAAAAATTGTTATTTTCTAACACTATTTTTCCGAGAATTGAAAATGTGGAAAATGTTACTCCATTGGCTAATTTGAGAATTGAAAGTGTTTTGTGTTTATATGGAAACAATAAAAAAATGTGGCCAACTATGGGCTAATTTGAGTTGTTTGGTTCGTTGAATCTTTATACTGGGCTTATAGATTTAGGCCCAGTAAATAAGAAATTTGATTTGCTCTGTTCTTCTTTTTTTTTTTTTTTTTCACAGTACTTTATTCTTCAAATATTTGAACATTTCGACCATTTATAACTTTCTTATTAGAATCTGTCTTTTTGATCGATTCTTGTTTACGTGACCCTAAGTTAAGAAATTTTTTTTTTAATAATACGGATTCGAATTTATTTTTTTTTGTCATCCGAAATTAATTAGAACTCAAAAGAACCATTCCTGTGGAATGTTGTTTACAAATGTGAACGGATTCGAATTAATCATAGTTTAGTTGCTTTTCTTTGTTACAATTTTTTTATGTTACTATTATTTTACTATACGGATTCAAAACTTTTGATCAAACACAGATAAGCTTGAGACTGGTCATATATCTCCACTGTCTTTTTTTCATGGTCTCTTCTTATAATTTCTCTATCTATCTTATACATGTAATTCTTTTTTTTCTTTTTAAGTCTTAACGATTTTTTTCTAAAAAAAGTCATGTTAAAGGAAAACAATTTCCAAAAAAAAAAACTCTTGTAATCCTTCTAGGTGACCTCTCAAAAAGTACCGTTCGCCCTAGCCGTCAAAAAGTTTTTCTCCGATGGCCGGTGATGGATGGCTTCCACAACATCGTTGCCGGTCCCTCTCTCCATAGTTGCTTTTCAATGGTCTCGTATTTTCCTAGCTGCGTCGTCTTTCTTCTTTCCCCTTTTAGATCCGCGGTGGTGGCTCCATTTTGAGTGGTGGCAATCTCGGTGGCTTGGCGTCGGATCTGAGGAGTTAATTTGTAGATCTATGGTGTTCTTCGTTGGATCTGCTCTCCTGTGGCTCAGTCAAGGTTTGTTGCTGCTCGGATGCTTTCTTCCGTTTTGGGGGAAGAGTTTTAGATTCTCCGTTTGGGTGGAAATTCTCTGATCTGTTTTCATTGGCTCTGTTCTCGTTGGATTTGGGAGTTGGTGATGGTATGTTGCGTGCTCCGGCTGCTTCTGTGGCAACGGCCTCCGTCATTTATCTTCAGGTTGTGTTTTTGCATCCGGTTAATTGCTCTGTTGGTTGGACGAGTGTATCTTCTAGGTTTGGTTGTGTTTTAATTTGGTTGACGAGTGAAGCCTTAGATTCAAGATTAGGGTTGACATTATTAGCTATTATCTCTGCCTCGCTGTTATCCTCCCTTCTAGATTCTAGTGGTGTGAGATGGTGAAGGTTTCGTTTTGTGGGTTCTTCCTTCGGATGGTAGTCTTCTGCAAAGGCACCTACTAGCTCTTTTCCTTTATGGTATGAGTTTTAGACGATGCAGGTGGCTCGGTCTTCATTCCTTCTCTTGCGTGGCGTAACCAGTTCTTAGCCTGTAGGTGGCTCTGGCTGGGTCTACGAATGTCCGCGTGTAAGAAATGGTGATCCTCTTTGAAGTTTTCCCCTTCGGATTTCAAGGTTTCTCTTTGTCCCTTCGCCTTCTTGTGCTCTCTGGTTTTTGGAGTGGTAGTGATGGTTAGGTTCTGTGCTCTAAGTCTCTTGTTCATCTGTGTTCGGTTTTGCTAGAGTTGTGGTTATGTGAGTTCAAGTTTGTACCCTTCTCGGGCTTTCTCTGTTGAAGGCAATCTAATGATGGGTCCTCTTCAAAGCTCCTGTTTGTAACTTCTCTCCAGCGCCAAAGCTGTTCTATGGAATTGTTCGTCGGGTGCTTTTGGTGAAGAGTTTCAGTTGTGTTGCTTTTGAGCTTTTGTTTTTGCCATTGTCCCTATTCTTTAAGGTTTTTATCTCCTTTATGTCCGTCCTTTGAGGCCTTTAGTCTCTGGGGGTTTATTTGTACCCACCGGCTTTGTTTTCGGAAGGATCTATGCCCTTGCCGTGATGTATAACTCAAATGTATCCCATCAATGAATCATTTAGACGAAAAAAAAAAAAAAAAGGAAAGCAATTTCCCTTTAGGAATGGACATCTTTAGTGCAGCGAGTGGGATTGGATCTACACGTGATTTGGGTAAGTATCTAGGAATGTCGGTTTTACAGAAGCACATCAATAAGAATATTTATGGGGAAGTGTTGGAACGAGTCTCGTCTAGATTGGCGGTTTGAAGAGTAGAACCTTAAGTCTGGCAGGGAGAATCACGTTGACTAAGGCAGTGTTATCGTCGATTCCGGTGCATTCCATGAGTTCAATTTTGCTGCCAGCCTCGATTCTCGAGAAGTTGGATAAAGCGTCGAGATCGTTTTTGTGGGGCAGCACATGGGAGAAGAGGAAACTGCATTTATTGCCTTGGAAAACAATTTGCAAGCCGAAAACACAAGGAGGGCTGGGGGTAAGATCGGCGAGAAATATGAATAAAGCTCTCTTGGCTTAAGTTGGGTGGAGACTGTTCCACGATAAGTGTAGTCTATGGGCGCGAGTTTTGCGAAGTAAGTATAGGGTGGGGGACGTCCATGATAGTTCTTGGGTGGTTCCAAAGAGTAATTGGTCGTCATTCGTCAACGTGGCGAAGTATAAGTGTGGGCCTACGAGATGTAGTCTCCAAGGGTGTGGGATGGGTACCTGGGGACGAAAAAGATATCAGATTCTGGTCGGATCGGTGGTTGTTGGGAGAGCCGCTTGCGGGCCGGGCCTGTACCCCGCTCACGGAGGGAGACTTGAATAGTAGAATCGAGGAGTTCTAGACGGAAGGAGTCGGTTGGGATATGGCAAGGCTGGTCCAGGTGCTTCCACAGAATATTGTTTATCAGTTGAATTCGGTGGTCACTAAAGGAGTATCGGGAAAGAGAGACACACTGTCTTGGCCAGGTAATTCGGATGGTGAGTTCTCGGCTAAGTCTGCGTATTCTCTACTGCAGGTTGATGATGCTCCTAGGCCGTGTATGGACCTTTTTTTTAGCGGATATGGGGGCTGGTAGTACCGGAGAGGGTTCGGGTTTTTCTCTGGTTGGTGAGCAACCAAGTGATAATGATGAAAGTGGAAAGAGTGAGACGTCACATTGGAGATAGTGAGGTTTGTCAGGTTTGTAAGGGTGCAGTTGAGTCGATTATACATGTGTTGAGAGATTGTCCGGCGATGGCTGGGATTTGGCAGTGAGTGGTCCCGCGAAGAGAGAGGCATGCGTTTTTTGCAAAATCTTTGCTGGAATGGATTTTCGTCAACTTAACCACCGGGATGGATTCGGAAAACAGTGGCTGGTCGACTTTATGTTTGGCATTGCGGTGTGGTGGGGTTGGAAGTGGAGGTGTGGAAATATTTTTGGGGAAAACGGGAAGTGTCGGGATCGGGTGCGGTTTATCCGCGACCTCGCGGCAGAGACTTTGAGAGCTCATGCGTTGGTCGGGAATGGGCAGCAAGCGAGAGGGAGAGTGGAGAGGATGATCTCGTGGCAGAAACCAACCGTGGGATGGGTCAAACTGTCCACCGATGGGGCTTCACGGGGTAATCCGGGCTTGGCCACGGCTGGTGGAGTGATAAGAGACGGGGCTGGTGTTTGGTTGGGTGGTTTTGCGCTAAATATCGGTATATGCTCAGCTCCTATGGCAGAATTGTGGGGAGTGTACTACGGGTTGCTGATAGCTTGGGAGCGGGGTTGTAGGCGGGTGGAGTTAGAGGTGGATTCGGAGTTGGTGGTTGGTTTTCTAAAAACAGGGATAAGTGATGTTCATCCGCTGTCTTTCTTGATACGGTTGTGCCAAGGCTCTTTTTCAAGGGACTTGTTAGTCCGGGTTATCCACGTGTATATGGAGGCTAATCGTCTAGCTGACGGGTTCGCTAACTATGCGTTTTCTTTGCAGTTAGGCTTTCATTCTTTGATTTCTTGCCCTAATGTAGTTCATTCGATTATGTTAGAGGATGCTAATGGGGTAGAGTTCCCACGTCATGTTCGATTGTAATTCTTTTTAGTATAATAAATTGAGGGAGACATTGTCTCCCCTTGCCTACAAAAAAAAATGTATATTTTTATATTATAATAATGGATAGGTGAAATAATTTATTAAATCCGAATATCCCTTATATGTTTTTTTTTGTTTTTTTGGGTGAATTATCCCTTATAAGTTTATAACACGTTAATTAATGTTCTAGGTAGAATCAACTTCTTTGCCATAGGTTAAATTATAATTTTTTGTGGGTTAACTATACTTTTCATTTTTTCCTCATATTTATGAAATTTTTTAAAATATTGTTGTTGTTTTTTTCCTTGTAAATCAAGAATTCGTTAAAAAAAATAAAAAACATAAACTAATTTTGGTCTTTTTTTTCTAAATTTTAGAAAAGCTAATTCTCTGAAATCGTTTATTTTGGTTTACAAATATTGAAAAAACTTAAGCTGGTGCTGAGTATTTACAGAAGTAAATTAATTGTTAAGTTGTAAATTAATGGGTGAACAAATTAACTGTCAAAAACAACCATAAATCGTAATAATTTTGTTTTAAAGAAACTTCATTATGCTTTCTTTCATAACGATCCAAACATAATAGAATGGGAAAACTACAAGACCGGTCTATAACCACTTGTCTCTTCCTTTTCTTTTTGCAGGCATCACAAATCCATTGCACCAGCCAATCACATGTTCGAAACCGCCTATACCGATCAAAGCGAGGGATTGATTCGTCAATAGACACAAGCCACTTAAATGCGATTCGTCACTTAAGCGTGTCTCTTTCGCTCCAAAACATAAGCGGTGTTAACCAACAAGAGCAAAGGGAAAGAGATAGAATCGAGAATCTTCCCGGACAGCCTTCAGTTAGTTTTACCCAATATGGCGGTTATGTGACCGTGAACGAGTCAGCAGGTCGATCCTTGTACTATTATTTCGTGGAAGCCACCAAAACCAAAGAGTCGTCACCGCTTGTTCTATGGCTAAACGGAGGTATGTATCTACCATGCATCTAGTTCTAAAAAATGTTTTGTTTTTTCGTCTTTCTATCCATTGAGAAATCGACGATCAATGTCCACAAAACATAAACATTATATATGTTTTAAAAATGCAGGACCGGGCTGCTCCTCTCTGTATGGGGCATTTCAAGAGCTTGGTCCATTCCGCATACATAGCGACGGCAAAACACTCTATACCAATCCTTATTCATGGAACAACGGTACAAACCTTCTTCTAATAGAATGTTTAGTTTATCTTCTTTTTTCGGATAATACTTCTTCTGTTTCTATATATAAGATTTTTTAGCTAAAAGCGCGTTTCTTTATTATTCACGTGTGGAATATACGCAGTGGCGAACATATTATTCTTAGAATCTCCGGCAGGAACGGGATTTTCGTACACGAACACAACAACGGATATGGAAAATCCCGGGGACATGAAAGCAGCAGCTGATAACTACGTTTTCTTGGTGAAATGGCTGGAGAGGTTTCCGGAATATAAAGGAAGAGAATTTTACATCGCTGGTGAGAGTTACGCCGGGCACTATGTTCCACAACTCGCACAAACCATCCTTGTCCATAACAAGAACCAAACCTTCATCAACCTACGTGGCATTTTGATTGGTAACCCGAGTCTGGGCGAGGACGAAATGGGCGGTGAGTATGAGTTTTTGGCGAGCCGTGGTTTTGTCCCTAAAGAAACTTTCCTTAGCTTCAAGAAAAACTGCTTAGATGTTAACCCTTCAGATGATACGACGTATTGCATCGATACGAGTCTGAAATTCGAAGATATATTAGAAAGCATGAACAAATACAACATATTGGCTCCTATGTGCCTAAACACCACGTTGACTAACCAATCCAAAGAATGCACAACGGTGATGCAGTTTGATACGTGCGGAGAGCACTACCTGGAAGCTTACTTCAACCTGCACGAGGTTCAGCGTTCAATGCACGTCACGAAACAGCCGTACATGTGGACACTATGTAGAGAAGCCCTCGGACATACTTATTGGAACAAGACGGATTATTATGCATCGATGCTACCTATTCTCAAAGAGCTGATGAAACATGAGCAACTTCGAGTTTGGGTGTTCAGTGGAGACACGGATGCGGTGATTTCTGTGACAGTTACAATGTACGCACTGAAGATGATGAATCTAACGGTTGTGACGGAATGGCTTCCCTGGTTTAGTGAAGGACAGGTGGGAGGTTTCACAGAGGAATACAGAGGGAATTTTAGGTTTGCCACAGTGAGAGGAGCTGGTCATGAAGTTCCTCTTTTCAAACCTAAGGCTGCTCTTACTCTTTTTAAACATTTTATCCTGAACTCTCCTCTCCCTCTTACCCCTTGATGATCTATACACTTTGTAACAGCACCAAACACATTCTATTGTTCACAATCTAGCTTAAAGTTTATTTTAAATGTTCAATTTAACACTATTCACTACCCAACTAGGACCCTCTGGCTAATAATTTAACACTCTTTTGTTCACTCGTGGCTACCTCAACAAAGTCCTGGTTTGATAAGCTCTCTATCACTCACTAGGTACTCAGCTTCGGTTCTTCTCTTCAAGTGTTGCAATCCCAAAGAATGCTCTCAAGTCTCTGCAATTTCTGGGGTTTGGATTCTTCTTTTTCTTTGGTTGATTTTCGCGTCTCTGTTATATTCTTGTTCCAGACCATAATCACGACCTCTGCCAATCACAAAACAGTGTTCAAACTTTATAAAATCACAGCTAACTAGAGTGCTAAACCTCACATCATTATGACAATCTCTAAATCAAGGTACAATACTAATCACAACCACTGATGGATTGAGATACTATGGGGAAAACCGACAACATTGACAAGATAAAAAATTAGACATGGTTCACAAGCATTAATCAGACCCAACAGCTTCCAACATCATAAGCAGCCAAAATTTGGGATTTCCACACTACAAGATAGCTACACAAGCGAAATCTATTAGCAATGTGATACCTGTGTCAATGATTGTCTCATCTCCTGTCTCTCTCACTTTTCCTTTTAAGGAGTCTTGTGGTGATAATTCTGAAAGAGAAGATGGAGATCATATTAACAAAGAATCAGAAAATAGAACAAATAGAAAATATTGTGGAAACCTCGTATTATCAGCTAACTTACTTAACAAAACACCAAGAGAGTATAACACGCGAATAACTATCAATTCGCCTAAGGCACACGAAGTCGAATCTTACACCAATACAGTAAAACAAGCAAATGTCAAACCTTTTTAAGCTGATAAAGAACAGTTTTTTTATCACCAGTAGTCGTTGCAAGAACAAAGACCACCTGCAAACTGATGAAATCGAACTCTATCCCTTACAATAATTTCCCGATTGAATGCTTTTGATACATATTTTGTAAATGAATGACAATCTCTGCAAACTCTCAGATTCTTTGTGATCCGGAGAGTTGTTCCTGCAGTAGTTCTCATTAATCCATATGCAATAGCCAATTTTTCACTGTGAGATGTATCTGCAGATTCTAAACACCGATCAGAAAGAGTATGAGCAGTTCTGTTCGAGTCCTCTGGCTTGTATCCAGCTAGAATGGCACGGTTGATTACTTCCCCGAGTTCTGAGTAAATAAGTGCAGACTCCGGATGCATTTTGTCATCAATGACAAATTTGTGAACTTGATCACCGATCTCAATCCAACTCCAGCCTGGAATAGTCCGTAAATCATGGCTTCTTATTAGTTTTCTCATACTAGCAAAACCTTGTGCATCATTTGCAGCAGAATATATCGAAGTCATAAGCACATAATCCCCTGCATTGAAAGCCTCAAGCTGCACCAATTTCTTCATGGCTACTTCTCCTAATTCCAAATTCCTGTGGATTTTGCAAGAGCCAAGCAGGGTTCTCCACAAGACAGGATCTTCATGGCAGGAAGACGTGTGTATCATCTCAAGGGCCTTTTCTAGCTGACCTGCTCGTCCAAAGAGATCCACCATGCATCCATAGTGTTTGACGTTCGGAGTCAAATGGAACTGTGAACTCATGATTTCAAAATGCTCAACTCCTTCTTTAACTAGACCTTGATGACTACAACCTAACAACAATCCGAGGAATGTGACGGCATTGGGTCTAACCCCGGAAGCCACCATCTTTCTGAAGAATGAGATGGCCTCTACGCCGTGCCCATGAACTCCATACCCAATAATCATTGAGTTCCAGGTCAACACATCTCTCTTGCGCATCCCTTTAAACACACCAACAGCATTTTCAAGGCTACCACATTTTGCATACATATCAATAAGAGCATTACACACAAAGACACTACTCTCACATCGAATATCACAGGCGATCCTGTGTAGCATAACTCCCATATTCAAAGCACTAACGTGAGCACAAGAAGATAACAAAGCAACTATCGTGTAAGCGTCAACACACACACCTTCATTTGCCATTCGACTGTACATACTGAACGCCTGATGATGTAAACCAGCATGAGAAAAACAGGAGATCATAGCGTTCCAAGAAACTAAGTCTCTAACAGGCATTTCGTCGAACACTTTGGATGCAATCTCAACACTTCCATTCGCAGAGTAGCAACGAACGAGATTAGTGGAAACAATAGCATCAGCAAGAAACCCAGATCGAATAACCGAACCGTGAAGCTCCAAACATTTCGGAATCAATCGGATCCTCTCACATGCTTTGAGAGCAAAACTGAAAGTGAAGATATCAGGACGTGAAACAGAGGAGAGAAGCATTCGATTATAGTAGAGAATCGTATAAAGAGGAGAAGAAGATATGGAGAAGCCACGAATAAGGTAGTTCCAAGCCGACGTAGATGGATCAGAATCGAAACGGTCGAAGAGAAGCTGAGCGTAAGACAAAGAGCCGTTGACGGAGACGGCGCAGAAGCGGAGGAGATGGTTGAAGATGGAAGGATGATGATGGAGACCATTGATGATGACATGAGAATGAATCTTACGGAGCTTGTTCATGCTGTTGCAGCCTTGTAGCATTCTCACTATCACTCTCGCTTTCTCGCACATCGTCTCCCTCTCTTTCCCCCGCACACCAAAAAAAAAAAACAATTTGAATTTACTTATTAATGATATAATTAAATCATATGAGTAATTAGGTTAATTTTTGCTAGAATATGTAATTACTAATTAGGAAACTATTTGAATCTTAATAAATTATTATTCCGATTTTCTTTTTTGATAAAGGCATTCATCCAAATATTACAAGGAAGAGCATAGCACATCAAAATATATACTAGCTAGAGATAAATAATTTAAAATTCTTTTCGATTTGAAATCTCTAACGAAGTTAATATGACTCCTAAAATCAAAATAAATAAAGTAATAGACCCCATGACACGAGATTACATGTTAATTAGAAATTTAGAATCCCACCACATCGCTAATTATTTTTTGATCCATTGATATTTTGTACAAATTACAATGGTAGCCATTTTATTTATTTTGATGGAAAAGTAAAAACACAAAAACAAATCAAACTCCATAGAGAGGTTGAAATCAACTGCTTTTTATTTTCTTTCTTTCATTCCTTCCTTCACGATATCTTCTAGTAAACCGGTATTGTTCGACACTCTTGAAAAGGTAACAGATTTGAGAGAGTAATCGTCAATGGAGTCACCAACACTCTGCGTTTTTGGTTGTGGAGGATAGAAAATTGCCGACAATTCATCAAACGGAGATGGACGAGGAAGATTTTGTTGTCGCTTCTTCTCCCGCACCCGACCATGTTGTTGTTTTGGCTGAGTATTCATTTATCTTTGTTATAATTAAGGATTACAAAGTTTAATTATTCTCGGATTGTTTATCACATACTTTAGTTTATTCTATATATAAATGTAAGAAATGGTAATGTATTTAAGATCAAAGTCTTACTTCATATTTTTGTTTTAGGAAATATATCCATACACATTATGCTTGTTCCTCTAATTTCAAAGTTGGATGTAAAACTCTTTAATACTTTACTTTATCAAGTTGGATGTAAGAAAATTCTAACCTAACTAAAGGTTTGAGGTAAGTGCTTACATTTATAATCTGATCTGATCCGATTAAATCCGAAATTATATATTAATATGGTGTATATATATTCATTTTTTTCTTCATCCAAAAAATTGAATACTAAACTATATATCCCAATAATAAATTATTGTTTTAGTTTAGATACTAAATTATACATATCAAAACTAAACCAAAATTCGAATTGAACACTCCTAAATCTGTATGCATATTATCGTTAAACTCATAACAAAAGTAAAATGGAGTATTTCTATGTGATGCATAGATTACTGATAAGATAATGTTTACAAGGGACGATACAAATAGTATCAATCATTCCCCATAAATTGTAGCAATTAGAAGCTAGTATAATCCAAATTATACTTAGATTTATTTAATTTTAAGATGGAAGGGTATTTTCGTCAATAAACTTTCTATGTTACAGTCTTACAGAACATAAACCCTTATTCATCTATCGCCGTCGTTGTCTCTCTTACCGGACGTTGTTTTGTTTCCCTCCGACCTCCGGCGAATCCATCAGAGAGCATCATTCATGGCCACAAGGTTCCCTCTCCCTCTATCTCTCAGTCAATGAATACAACCTTCAAGTTACCTTGTTTAATTTATCGTCTCTTGCATTGTTAGCAGGAGGTTAAGAGCATTCAAGAGATGGATGAAAGCTAACGGAGTTGATTGCAGCGACGCTCTCAACCTCGTCGACGACCAAAACGATGGTGTCTCTGTGAGAGCATTCTGCGATTTGAAGGAAGGAGATGTTGTTGCCAATATCTCAAAAACTGCTTGTCTCACTATCAAAACCAGTGGAGCTCGTGAGATGATCGAATCTGCTGATTTAGATGGAAGTTTAGGTCTCTCTGTGGCTCTCATGTACGAGAGAAGCTTAGGTGAAGAATCTCCTTGGGCTGGTTACCTTCAGATTCTTCCTGTTCAAGAAGATTTGCCTCTTGTTTGGTCTCTTCAAGACTTGGATTCTCTCTTATCTGGAACTGAGCTTCATAAGGTTCCTATTACCTTACCATTGCATTTGATTTGATTGTTTGATGGAATTTAGTTGAAGTCACTACTCATCAGTTTGAATTTTTTGTAGGCAGGTGGTGAAGGAAGATCATGTTCTTATATATGAAGATTGGAAAGAAAACATATTGCCACTTACCTCTTCACTGCCTCAGAATGTTGATTCTGATTCGTTTGGAATTAAAGAGTATCTTGCTGCGAAGAGTTTAATTGCTTCACGGTCTTTCCAGATCGATGACTATCATGGATCAGGGATGGTTCCTCTTGCAGATCTGTAAGTTTACCTCACATTTATTAAGCTAAAGCCTAAAGATGTATCAACCAAAGAAATTTGTTGGAATTGAGCCAGGCATTATACCATAGAAATGCATTCCTGTATCAGCTGTTTTTGCTCTCTAAGCTTTGCATCAACCATAGACTTATAGTTAGTTACTTAGTTTATGGTTACCATATAGTCATGTAGATGCTTTCTTAGTTTCTCTATTCACTCAGATTTTTATTGCATCTTGTATTATCAGCCAATTTGCCTAGTTAATCGGACCAAAATTAATCTTGGATATATATTGGTGCAACATTTACTTATGTATGTTGTCCTCGAGAGATTTTCTCTGTGTAGACATTAAAGGTCTCATTAGGTTCAATCACTTCGATTAGACCAAGTCTGTTCTAAGTCCTGTCAATGATTGCAGATTTGCAGGTAATCTATATAGTTAGCAATCAATGTGCTAATTTATTCACAGCCTGCTTCTGGATTGCAGCATCTTGGTTATTTACTAGGAACTGTTTTTTCATGTGGGAAAAATGACCTTAGAAGTCGGTTTTTGATGAACTAAATATGATTCTAGCATACTTGGTGACTTTTCTGACAAAAGCTTGATGATTTACTCATTGGCCACTCTTCTGAATCTTGCCTGTTTACTCCATTTTGCAGCTTCAATCATAAAACTGGGGCAGAAGACGTTCATTTCACTCATGAATCCGATACTGAAGCTGATGAATCTGAAAACGATGATGCTGCAAATGAGGCCACCGATGAAGACGACCCTTCCAGTAAAATTTCTTCCTCGCCTGAGCAGTCTTTTGAGGACGTTCCTGGTGAAAACACTGATGACGAAGCCAAAGAAGAAGAAGAAGAAGACGACGAAAACTCTTCAATGCTGCAAAATGATCAATCCGGTCTAAAAATGATTATGGTGAAGGATGTCTCAGCTGGAACTGAGGTATGTATGTTTTTTTCTTGGGGTTTTTAACTATTAGTCAGTTAGAATCACATTTCATTTGCATTTATGCTATGATCTCTGTGTAGGTATTCAATACATACGGTTTGATGGGTAATGCTGCGTTACTCCACAGGTACGGATTTACAGAGTTCGATAATCTATACGACATAGTAAACATAGATCTAGAATTAGTAACCGAATGGAGCACATCCTCATTCACAAGCCGGTACACTCGAGCTAGACTGGCCTTGTGGAGAAAACTAGGCTACACAGGATGCGAGAGTCAAAACTCAGAATACTTCGAGGTATCTTCAACCGGAGAACCCCAAACCGAGCTCCTGATCCTACTCTATATACTGCTCTTACCAGATGACACATACAATAAACTGGATCTAGCTGAATCAACAACAGGAGCGTCTCTCTCCAAAGAAGGAAGAGAAACTTCTTCTTCTTCTTACGAGATAACAATTGGGAAACACAAGTTTGTGTTTGGACAAAGCGGAAACGATATTCTTCTGACAGATGGTGTTTGTGAAGCTCTTCTAACTATTGTGGATAAGCGAGAGAGCTTATATGGATCATTAAACTCATTGGAAGATGACATTGTTAGGCTCAAGACTTGTTGTCTTCCGAGAGACAGGAGAGTATATCATTCGCTTGTGTTGCGTGTGAGTGAGAGGAAGATTCTAAAGAAGCTTAGGAGCTACATTCATACAAAGGCCAATGAGTTTTCCGGCGGAAAGCGCCGGAAGAAGATGCTTCCAAAATCCTAGCAACACCCTTAAATTGCTTGTTGACTTTTAACTTTTCATCCCCAAGTTACCAGTTATAAACGATTTGGTCTAGTAACATTGAGTTTCATCTATAAGGTAAGGTTCATCGAATGTTAGCATATTTGATTGATTCTCTTACTTCTATTTATAGAAATTTTCGAGGTTTAAAATAAAATAGAGAACGGAGTTTATATCGTGAGTATTGTTGAGTAATCTTCAGACGGAAGCAAAGAAAGCGTGACAAAAAGCCGGCGACTGTCAGACAGGTAAAACTGTAAATACGGAGAAAGATGGGGTCACTTTAACAGAGCCGGACACGTGGCACGTGGGAATTAAAGGATATTTACAGTCTTACACAGAATTACACAGAGACAAGACAACAATTTTTTTTTTTTTTTTTTTCACCAAGGCTAAGCTTTTTTTTTAATACAGTCAAAAGACTCGATAGAGTGTAACGGAGAGATTCTTCTTCTAGAGCAGCTCTCTTTTTGTTCGTCTTCTTCCTCCAAAATCCAATCTCACTACAGCTTCTTTAGGGTTTCTTCTTCTTCCTTTGGATCTATGTGAACAGGTATGTAACTGATTGAGCTGCTCTTTTTAATTAACCAAGTAATTTGTTCTCTTGAATCTTATAATTCTTTTTTTTGTTCCCGGGATTTCATTTTTTGGTTGGATTTAGATCTTTGGATCAGATTTGCTCAAATGTCGTGGTAAGGTCTGTGCCTTGGATTGTCTTTCGGATACTTGTTGTATTTTTGCTCTGTTTTTGGATTGGATTTGTGGATTTCGTATCTTTTGTTTTCCTTGAAGCTTTTACTGTGATCTGGTTTTTGACCCATCTTATTTTGCTTGATTATCCGTACGAAAGATGTTTTGATTTCTGTAGATCGTTTGCATTGTACTTTCTTGATTCGATTTTCTCTCCATTGCGGGATCGCCTGATGTCTCATTTAGAGATTTTTTCTAGCTCAAATGTGGTTGAACTATATAGTTTCTGAGTTCATTATTTGGTCATTTTTTAGTTGGGTTGGCTTAATTATTAGAGACGTAGCAATTAACGATCATGTTAGACGAATTAGTCTGTTAATCAGCAGCTAGACATGAGATTTTCCTAATTAGGTGAAACATGTGTTGTAAAGTTTGGTCTCTTAAATGCTTAATTATGTGACTTGTGGTTCCATTTGGATCTTGTAGTATGAACTAAGCTCTGAGGTAAGCTTGGGAAGTAGGGATATGGCCAAAATCTCCTTGGTTTACCAACTTAGCAAAAAAGTTAGCAGGAGTTGGTGATCAGTTCTCCTACCGGCTTTTGCAGGCTAATAACTAGTACCTGACTGTAAAATCTTCCAAGGTTTCAACGCACACTGGGACCTTGTTTCTTTTGGTATTGTAAAGGATGTCAAGTGTTCGGAATACTCATTGGTGTCACAGATGTCAACGTGCTGTTTGGCTTCGAGCTCGAGATGCTGTCTGTTCATATTGTGGGGGAGGATTTGTTGAGGAAATCGATTTAGGACCGAGTAGCCCGTTTGATCTGCTTAGAGCTCACAGGGATGTTGACCGTGATCCAACCTTTGATCTCATGGAAGCTTTCTCAGCCTTTATGAGAAGCCGTTTAGCTGAAAGAAGCTATGACCGAGAAATCAGCGGAAGAATTGGATCTGCGGGTTCTGAAAGCTTCTCAAACTTAGCTCCTTTATTGATCTTCGGTGGCCAAGCTCCCTTTAGATTGGCTGGTGGTGATAATAATTCAGTTGAAGCCTTTGTCAATGGCGCAGCACCTGGGATTGGTATCACACGTGGCACTAATGCCGGAGACTATTTTTTCGGACCCGGACTTGAAGAACTGATTGAACAACTTTCGTCAGGCACTCATCACAGAGGCCCACCACCAGCACCAAAATCATCAATTGATGCATTGCCAACCATCAAGATCACACAGAAGCATCTCAAGTCATCAGACTCTCACTGCCCGGTTTGCAAAGACGAGTTCGAACTCAAGTCAGAAGCAAAACAGATGCCGTGTAATCATATCTATCATTCTGACTGTATCGTCCCGTGGCTGGTTCAGCATAACTCATGCCCAGTCTGTCGCAAAGAGTTACCATCAAGAGGATCTTCTTCAAGCACACAGAGTAGTCAGAACAGAAGCACCAATGGAAGAGAAAACAGCAGAAGAAGGAATATTTTCTCTAACCTCTGGCCATTCCGCTCGTCTAGCTCAAGCTCGACCCAAAACCGCAGAGACACAAACAACACAACCACTGCAGAAGAAGGCCACTACCATCATACTCATCACCAGCAGCAACAGCAACAACATCAACATCACCAACAACAATCCCATATGGGTTACAGTGGATGGCCTTTTGACTATTAAAGGTTAACCTAACTCTTGACTCTTTGAAGCCTTCTGTTTCACTTTGGTTCTTTGTATTTTGTTTGTGCTTTGTCATGTTTCTCTCTCTCTTTCACTTACTTTGTTCATTGTTTATTGTAGATCTTCTGTTTCTACCAACTTAATGTTTTATTCCGAATTGTGTATCTCACACATGTTAGCTTGTTATTGAATTTGCATTAAATAATTTATTGTTTAGACTAGTGTATGTTTTCGTCTGGCGCCAACCAAACTTCGATGTCTTTTTTTTTTTTTTTTAATGAATTATTGTATATGGTTATATGTCATTCTTCGTTTACGTTTGTTTTACTTGCACATTTCGTAAACAAAAAAGCTGCTATACCAGAACCTGAGAACTATGATGTGCTAACAAATCTTCACCATTCTAGAATCTCGACCTCACTTATAAATATTATTAGATTTTGTACTAATGTTAGATGAAAGTGATAGTTAGATAACCAAATTGCGTTAGCTCAATGCTGTACCATCAATTTTGTTTATATGCGAATGATATAATAATATTACTGAACTTATTTTTAGCCACTACGAATATGCTAACCCACAAATAGTAGATTCCCATTTATTTGATGGAATAAGCAGCCAATAACATTAATTTTGCCACATCACACAAGTCACAAGAAGGTGTAGAAGAAAGTAGGGATGATAAATATCGTAAAACAAGAAGCTCTGAGTTAATAAAATTCATATCACCGACGAAGATGAAGCTTTAAAAAGACCCACAAGAAATCTGCCGTAGACGAAAAGTGACAAAAGTGTTTGACCTATAAATCTTCTTTGTCTCTTCCGTGATCCAAGTTTCACAACTACTTGTCTTCTCAACAAGTTATTACCAATTCTACACAAATACCCCATCATCATAAATTTTCTTTATTTAATATCTTGATATCTGTCTTCTCAATTACAGTAGAACTTCTAAAAATTAATATTCGATAAATTAATAAACACGATAAACTAATAAATTTTGTCGGTTCCGAATCGGGCCAATGTAAAAATTAACTAAATTCGATAAGATAATAAGATAATAATATTTTTGAAATCCCTATATAAAAATATGGTCCCAATAATATCATAAATTAATAATCATGTAAATTTTTACATTATAAATATATATATATATATATATATATATATATATATTAGGGGTTTTCATAAAAATAGCCAAAATTTACTTTAAGTTTTCAAATTTTAGAATATACATCATTTTTGTTTTAATAATCGTAGGTTTTTCAAATACAACTATAGATGTCATTATTAATAAATTTTAATTTATGTATATCGTTTATATATGTAAACTCTATAATCTTTGTTATTCATTGTAAAAAAAAAATGTTTTCTCTTCGAAATATTAAATGTTTAAGTCTAAAACTCTAAAATTTATAACATCCAAAACATTAATTTTATTTCGATCACATTGTTTTCCTCATATTTTTTTTAAAAAAATTCAACAATGAAAACAAAACTTTCTATAAATTATTATCACTATAAATTAATAAAATATTATGGTCCCAACTTTATTAATTTATAGATGTTTAACTGTATTAACGTTTTCTTAAACACTCAAGTAGTGGATTTATTACGTGTACATATAGTTTGCACCCATAAATGTGATGATTTTTTTAATAAATTTTCATAATCAGCAACCAATTAAATCGTTTCATCTAGGCCTGGGCATTCGGGTACCCGTTCGGGTTCAGTTCTTTTTTTTCGGGTATCGGGTCTATTCGGGTAGGGGGTCAAGACCCATTCGGGTATTCTAAAAATTCGGTTCGGGTTCGGTTCGGGTTCGGGTCGGTTCGTGTATTTTAATAAAAAAAAAGCAAAATACCCGAAAATAACCAAAAATACCCGAAATATTTTCGGGTTCGGGTCGGGTTCGGGTTTTTAACTCATATATACCCAAATCTAACCGAAATACCCGATTTCTCGAAAATACATTGGTTACTCTGTACCCAAATATAACCAAAAATATCTAAAATACCTAATATATTCGGATTTATGATTGTAATTTTAGGTATTTCGGGTATTATAAATATAAATATAACTAATATTTTTAGGTGTATATTTGTATTCGGGTACATTCGGTATTGGATTCGGTTTGGGTTCGGTTCGGGTTTTTTTCGGGTAGGAGGTTAGGACCCATTTGGGTATTTTTAAAAATCGGGTTCGGGTTCGGTTTGGGTATTGTTCGGGTTTTTCGGTTCGGGTATTCGGTTCCGGGTATTTTGCCCAGGCCTAGTGTCACCCTTTCGTAAAATCTTTGCTCCCTCTGTTTTGAAATATTTGTCGTTCTAGATTGTTTTAAGTTATATTTGGAATGCTTTGACAAAACATACATTGAAAAATGAGAATGACAAGTATTTTAAAACAAAAAAAAATAAACTTAGAACAACTATATCAAAACAGAGGGAGTATTACTTTATCCGTTTCACATAAAATGTTATTTTATATTTTTCACACTTATTAAAAAAACTATAAAAAGTTTTAGTATACCTTTATTAATACACTAAACAAAATTATCTCTCACTTTTTATTAATACACTAAATAAAATTATTTCTCTTATTAATATATTAAAAAGGGTTAAATAGACTTTTATTCATAATTTTACATTGGAAAATACGAAATAACATTTTTTGTGAAAAAAAAAACTTAAAATAACATTTTTTGTGAAAAGGAAGAACTATCAATTACAAGCAAAGTTGGAAAAAAATTTCAACTATTTATAAAAAGTTGAGCATCTTTTTGACATTTTCCCCAATAATCTTCATTGTTTTGCCTATTTTAAAACATAGTATAAAAAATAATAAAAATTTCGAAATTCAAACTGACACGAGCTCACACCCACTAGTGCAACTGCTCTGTAAACAATTACTAAACAAATGTTAAATGTAGCAAAAAAAAAACAAAAAAGAAAAGAAAGATAAAGCAACAAGACCAATATAAACTCTTCCAACACAAAAAAAGAAAAAGAAAAAAAAAAAGAGGATCCTTATTGTCATTTGCAGAGAAAGCTACTTCACTCCTTTCTCTTCCTTCGTCTCTCCGTCTCCCTCAGCCCTACATTTTCTGTTTCCGTCTACAAGAACCACTTGGTTGCTTGCTTTTCGAGCATCGTCGTCGTCTTCAAATTTTGTTTGTTGCTTGCTTTTGAAGCCGGCCTTTGATGGGTGCGGCAGAATCTGGAATCGATCGGAAGAGCTTTGCTTATGGATTTTGAGTTTTTTCTGTGAATGAATCTGTGTTTGTTATGGGGAAAAATACCGACGCGGAGCAGAATCTTCCTGTGAGCGACGGAGCTGCTTCGGCTAGGAATAACGGAGGAGGAAGAAGCAGATGTTATTGCTGCGATTGGATCTCTAGCTACTTTAGTCTCAGATGCGTTTTGATTCTTGCTTTCTCTGCTGCTGTGTTTCTCTCCGCCTTGTTTTGGTTACCTCCATTCCTCGGATTTGCAGATCGAGAGGATCTAGATCTCGATCCAAGGTTTAAAGGTATAAATCGCGTTTCTTTCGATTTATGATTCCGTCGAGGCTCACGCAAATCTAGCTTCATGTGATTCGTGGTTCAGATCTAGGGTTTGTGATTCGTTGTGGTTTTTTTTTTTTTCTGAATTTCACATGGGAAAATGTACATAGAAACTAATTGAATGAGCTGTCACAAAGCTTGGAATTATTTTTCTATAACAGGACAAGCTCGATTCTTGAATAAACCTTTGATTAATTTTTAATGGATTTTCTTCAATTCTTTTGGAGGAGATGGTGTAGGACATGTATATTTTCATTGACTTGGACTTAGAAAAGGCTATTTTAAGCGTTTTCTTTATAAGGTTATGTGTGAATTATGTTTAAATTTGATCTAAAACCTGTGGAGTTCAGGATTCAAATAAGGATGTGTTTCTTTGTTGAGTCCATGAACTCCATATCTAGTATTTCTTAACACCTTTATTGAATCAAGACTGCCTAAAAGGTAAAATTTCTAAAAATGTTTCAGAATGTTGTATTAAGCTTGGCTTGCTTTAGCATGAAATTGTATTTCTGTGCACTGATTAATTTCCATTTATGCACCAAAATCTTTTCCCTCGATTTCTAACTTATTACTATACAATCTATTATTCTCAAAGCTGGTTGGTAGAGTCAATTATGAACCTAGACCTAGTTGGTGCATAGTTTAGTGTGTGATATAGCTGTGCAAACACGTTTCCACTAGTGATTCTGATTTGGTTAAGACAGCTATTGTAGTTGCTGCCACTTGCTTTGGCAGGCAAGGATGTTTTGGTTTGAATTATGGAACTTGTTTTCTGCAATTCTGTTGTTTAGTTTTTCTTTCATGTTACAACTTGCATATGCGTATAAGCACCCGTATCTTGTGTCATGATCTATCTCTATGTTTGATGATGGAGCAACAATGTCGCTTTTTGGTTTTTATGACTTTTGCAGATCACAGAATTGTGGCGAGTTTTGATGTTGGAAAACCAGTTTCGTTCATGGAGGACAATTTGCTGCAGCTTGAAAATGATATCACCGATGAAATAAGCTTTCCCATGACCAAAGTAACTAAGCACCCTTATCTCACTTGCATGAATTTTATTGTTTCCATTGTTGATCATTCTGTAACTTCTGTTTCTTTTCTTGAGCCAGGTTGTGGTATTAGCGCTTGAACGATTGGGTGATCTTAACAGAACAATGGTTATTTTTGCCATTGATCCCGAGAAGGAGAATTCTAAGATACCTGCCGAAATAGAGAGTCTGATCAAGGCAGCTTTTGAAACACTGGTCCAGAAGCAGTTGTCTCTCCGTTTGACTGAATCCTTATTTGGGGAACCATTCTTTTTCGAGGTGCTAAAATTCCCTGGAGGAATCACTGTGATCCCTCCCCAGCCTATATTTCCCCTGCAGAAGGCGCAACTTCTCTTCAACTTCACACTAAACTTTTCGATTTACCAAATTCAATCAAACTTTGAGGAACTCGCTAGCCAGCTGAAGAAGGGCATAAATCTGGCTCCCTATGAGGTATGACAGTTGTATTCGCAAGATCAGTCTATTGCTATTGATTCAGAATCTTAAAATTCTTTCCTGTTGGATTGCAGAACTTGTACATAACCTTGTCGAATTCCAGAGGTTCAACAGTGTCGCCCCCTACTATAGTTCATTCTTCTGTTCTGCTTACAGTCGGTTCGTCTTCGAGGTTGAAGCAACTTGCTCAAACTATCACTAGCTCCCATTCCAAAAATCTCGGCCTAAATCATACAGTATTTGGTAAGGTTAAGCAAGTCCGTCTTTCCTCAATCTTACCACATTCACCTGCCACATCATCATCCCCTTCCCCTTCTCCTCAACCTGAAACCCACCAACACCATCCTCATCCCCATCCCCATCCCCATCATCATCATCATCATCATCATCAGCATCATTATGAACTTGCTCCAGAACCTTCACCTTCGCCTCCAACTAAAGGCTTTACACCTGTATCAGCGCCAACCAAACACTCAGCTTTACCCCCGAGAAACCCGCCTTGTCCTTACGAGCAGAGGAGACCAAAAGGAAACAATGCTCTGAACCATCATACTGCACCACCAACGCCTGCACCACACCGGTCTCAGCCACACCCACACCCACCAGCACCAAACCCAGCTCCGCCACGTCATCATGCCATACCAGTATCTAGTCCACTTCCCCACGTTGTATTTGCTCATATCCCACCTCCACCAAAAAGCAGCCCAGAACCAAAACCTACCGGCGAAAAAACTCCCTCACCTTCTCCAACCCCATGTAAGTCTTCCTCTCAATATCTGCATCCATGAATTTGTTGTTGATTCACTGAACTAAAAAAATATCTCAAAATATGAAACAGCTTCTGCGAGCACTGGTCCAACCTTGAAAAAGGCATCATCGAAGCTCCTTGTAGTAGTAGCCGGTGTAATCATCTTTCTGTAAAACAAAAACAAACAAAAAGCGCCGGAAGAAGCTGCTTTTAACGTTCAAGCTGTAAAAATCAGCAGCAGTTCACAAAAGCACAACTCCTCCGGGTCACAACATCATCAATCAAGGTAATTGTATAAAGGAACACAAGAGAGAGAAATATGTATGTATGAAAAAATGAAGAGAGTTTTTTGTAAAAGAGTTGTTGAGGTTTGCAACACAAAAGTGTGTCTTGCACCTAAACATCCGAGAAAAAAAAAAAAAAAAACATATATATAAAAAACATTTCTGTTTTTATTCTTGTATATAAAGTAATCTTGTTTTAATCAATTTGTGTGATTTCACAGCTCTATATTCTCTAAGATCTCTTGCTAGGGTTTCATTATAAAACTTTCATATATAGACCAAAAAAGATTATTCTTTAGCTAAAAATGATTAATTCAGTATGTAAATTAGAAAAAATGATTATTTTCTAGCTCTCTTATTAGAGCATCCATTAAGAGTTGAGATTCTGCTAAAACTAAAACTGTTTCTTTAATTTGTGATGATGATGACAACAACAGTTGCAAATTATGTCTATTAATGGCAAATTTCATTATGGTTTTCTCTCCTACAAAAGCGGGAAAATCACAAAACGTAGATAAGAACAAAACATTTATAGCACCTAATAAATTTGGAGGAAAGAGGAACAAAAAAAAAGAGAAAAAAAACCTAAATTTGTAAAGAAAAAAAAAAAAAAAAAAAAAAAAGAGAAAGAAGAAGTCTGGGACAGGGGAGTCCCAGAAGAAAAAAGAGTTCTTTTTTTTTTTTCCGGTGACAGTGTCGGTTCTCTGACGCTCCCCTTTATGTTCAATCTTTCTTTCGTCTTTCCCTGAATGACTTCACTTATAGTCAGGGTACGTTCATATTCCTCTTCTTTTTATCCGTTTCAGGTAAATTCATATCAACCAGCTCAAAAATATCCAAGATTTTTCCAGATTTAATGACTTGTTCTTCAAGGAATTGTTCTTGATTCTTAGGGTTCTCTTGATAAATGTTATGTAAATGTAATATTGCTTTGAACTTGCAGAAACTTGCGGCGATTCACAATTGGAGGAGTGAGGGATTATAAGGTCTCCCATTCGCGTTCCATAGACTTACATACATGTTTTGAACAACAACAGTTTCCTATGTTCATGAACTACAAAATTGTAGGTACTAATACTAATGGATTCAAAGAACACCATCAGATCCCCGTGTATCATCAAATCCGATTTGCTTGCTGTCCTGGCGGTGATTTGTCTTTTAAATGATTGACGAATTCATCGAAGAAGAGTTGCCGCCATTAATCTGATCAGCCAAAAAAAAAAAAAAGTTTGGCATGAACTGTATGTCCGTGGCTTTCGATCCACTAACCGACCAGCTTGCGCAGTTTAGCCGATCTTCACAAAGATGCAGACTCCAATCGTTAACCAACCTCGACTTTAACTTTCTTGGTTTCAACACTAAACAAACCAATATCCCTGCTTCTTCACATTCCTTGAACCACCGAAGTGTATCTACTCCATGCTTCTCCATATCCGGTAGTAATCTAGATGGCTCTACTGCTCCGCGCATTGAGATTCTCGGTGGTCAAAGAGTCCCCACTGTACGCGCCCTTGTAGCTGAAGTAACCATAGCTATGGTTTCTGGAGCTCAGCCTTTGCTTTTACCAAGTGGTTTAGGAGGTGCTTATCTCTTGCAAACCGGAAATGGTCACAACATTGCGGTTGCAAAGCCAGTAGATGAAGAGCCTTTAGCTTTTAACAATCCTAAAGGATCTGGTGGATTGACGCTAGGACAACCAGGGATGAAACGGTCAATCCGCGTTGGTGAAAGCGGAATCCGTGAATTGGCTGCTTACCTTTTAGACCACCAAGGCTTTTCCGGGGTTCCACCAACTGCATTGGTCAGAATCTCGCATGTTCCGTTCCATATCAGTGATAGTGATCACGCCGCCTGTAAAGTTGCTTCTTTGCAACGATTTGTGGGTCATGACTTTGATGCAGGAGAGCTTGGATCAGGAAGCTTCACGGTTGGATCTGTCCATAGGATTGGCATACTTGATGTGAGAGTCTTGAACCTTGACAGACACGCTGGAAACATGTTGGTGAAGAAGATACATGACCAAGATGAGAGTACTTGTTATAATGGAGTTGGAGCCGCTGAGCTCGTGCCTATAGATCATGGTCTTTGCCTACCCGAATGCCTTGACGATCCTTATTTCGAATGGCTTAACTGGCCTCAAGCTTCGGTGCCATTCACCGACACTGAGCTTCAGTATATATCAAACTTGGACCCTTTCAAAGACGCAGAGCTTTTGAGAACCGAACTAGGCTCAATACAGGAATCTTCCCTACGGGTTCTCATCGTCTGCACGATATTCTTGAAACAAGCTGCTGGTGCAGGGCTTAGTCTTGCAGAGATAGGAGAGAAGATGACTCGGGACATCTGCAGAGGGGAAGAGAGTACTAGTGTGTTGGAGATTATTTGCAACAAAGCAAAAGCAAGCGCGGTTAGTGGAACTGACGATGATGATTATAGTAGTGAATGGAATGAAGTAGAAGCAGAACTAGAGTGTGGAATTTTTCAGTTTGACGATGAAGTTGAATGCAAAGAGCTTCCAGATATGTTACAAGTGCCTTTATTTACAAGAGTTCCATCCATTGCTGCGAATCTATCCGCTCTCATGCGGTGTCCACCAAACCAGTGGATTACTACATGTGACACTAACAGAGAAGAGGACAGGAGAGATCGGAGTATCGTGAGGAGCAAGAGTCACCCGATATGTGTGAATTATGATGAGAAAGAAGGTGTTCATTTTGGGGACATGAGTGGAGATGAATGGGAGATGTTCTTGCATAGTTTCCAGATGCTTTTGCCAGAAGCACTTGAAGGCTCAACAAGCAAGGGGCCAAAGCCAAGATTTGGATCTTCCTGCAAATTCTAATGAAACAATACTAAAAGAAGAGAGAGAGAGATGAAATCTCGCAAGGTTAAGATACATAGAAAGCAAATGGAATATGAGACGAGCAAGCTAAGGCCGTCCAATCCAAATTACTTGTTAGCTTCTTCTTTCTGCAGATTTCTTTATTATATGATGTATCACTTCATTGCTATTTGCTAAAACACTAAGTATCATAAATATCTACAAGAGAATGATTGGTGTAACTGATCTCATGTGATTATCTTGTTCTATGTAAGTTCTCTCGGTTTCTATGATCACATTGCACCTTCTTGGAATGCATCCCAATCACAAAAGAACCAAAAAAACCTTCAAATAAATTAATTTTCTTGATACTAAGAGAGCAATACCAAACTAAAATTTGATGAAGAGCACTTGATCAGTACGTACTCGGAGATCATTCCTCGACCTGTAATTTCTCATGACATAGTAACTCTAGCGATTTGGGAGAGAACAGAGGAATCGATTTGGTTGCTATAAAAACCTCTAATTAATTAGGCCATTTTAAAATAAAAACCTCTAATTAAGACATTTGGCTCCTTGATTTCCATTATAGTGTTCACATCAGTGTTCTTGATTCTTGCGACTTGAATCTTTAAATAATCAAACCATCATCATAAATTTTGTCCAGACTCATATCAATGAGCAGACGACACAAGATCACATTGTGTTTGGCCCAACTTTATTTCAATTTTAAGTATAAGCGACTAAAAATATTTGATACAATGAAAGAAAAATATAGTATAAGATAAATTTACCAATATACGTACCTAGAAAGCCTTAATTTGGATTTATTTTGAATCTCCGTGCATGAAAAAAATAACTGATATCCAAGACAAAGTTAAACCGGAACACAAAGATACCATATTTGTGTGCTTTTCTCTAGAGAGTCTTGTTTTCGAAGCTTGGGCAAAAACGTCTGGATTACATGTTTGGTCACGATGTTAAGACAAACACGTCCCATGTGATAAACTTCTAGACAACATCCGTGTTGTTTCAACGGACCATGGCTATACAGTACTTCGGCAGTGACATACATCGCACACCTTGAAGATAACTTAGCCATACATTTGTTAACCAAGTGGTCTGATTCTGGAGACTGAACCAAACTGGTCGCTGCAGATGCCAATGCAGCCATGGCGATAATTGTGAATAAGGCTACAAACATGGATTTGGTGACGGTAGTTGCTTTGAGGGACATGATGTATTTTTTCTTTTTGTAATGTGAATTTGTTGAATTGCTTTTTATTATTATCCCGAGAGTATATTTATATGAAGATACTTGTAACAATTTGAGAATTTAGTGATCAAAAGTATGTTTCATATATATTGAGATTAATGAGGCGTTTACTTGCAGTTACGCGTTTGATTTGCAAAACGCCTACTTATTTCGTTTGTGTAAGAAAGAAGTAACACATTCGAATTTTAATGGGCTATGTTCAGGCCCATATCAGACTTGATTCTGATTTTTTTCAAAGTATACAGAAAGGGCTTAATTTGTCAGACTAAATCTATCTACAAACCTAAGTCAAGTTGATTAATTAGGGGATTAAATGGTCAATTACAACATACTTGAGCTTGATTACTATTCTAATAAATGGTCAAAGGGATTTGGAACATTTATTCAATAATAATAATTACCCTTCTAATGAAGATTATACAACAAAACCTAAAAAAAGAAAAAGTTGGAGCAATGATATACAACAAAGAAAAAGTTGCTCCTCTATCTAAAATTAAAAAAAAAAAAAAAGAAGACTTCAAAGGATCTAATTAAGCTCGTGAACATCTTTTTCTACACACGAGGTTACGAGAAACCCACCGCCACTTTAGCTGTCCCTGCAGATTGCATTTCAACGTCTACTTCCTCATCAATTCGTGGCATCATCGAGACAACCTTGATATCGCAGCGGTTGCAACACTTAACAACTTCTAGATATTTCTCCTCAATGTTCTCTTCTTCATCTCCTTCCTTTCCCCATAGAACCGCGCAAACTCCCACCAGTAATATCGCCATTCCAAGAACCCTAAATTTCAGAGTTGGATAAACAAAAATAGTAGTTTAGAAACATGATGATGAATCGAGCCATGTGATCTAACCACGTAAAAATCTAGTGGTTGCTTACCCGCCAAGGTATAAATTTTGGCCGAGGATGAGGAAGCCAATGATGGATCCGATTATGACAACAAGAGGGTTAAAAGCAGTAACAAAGACAACACTCTTTTGCTTCGTCATCATTCCCTGAACGTAGTACGCTATGCTCGAGGACATTATGCCCTATAAAAGTATATATACAACATCAGATTAATTATAAAATTCCATGGTTCCATATATAACATAAGTTATATAATCAGGAAGAAGGACAAACCGCGTAAGCAGAGGCGAGAAGGTTCATGTCAAAGCCAATGTTCCATGCAGAAAGGTTTGGCTCCATCACAAACGTTAAGGCTGTGGACTGTAACGTGCCCATGAAACACACCATGGTCGATAATGAAAGGTGAGATGAGTATCTCTTCAACGTAGCCGCCTAAAGAAACAATGAAATATATTGTCTTAATTCGTTAGAAGACTACTTTTTAATTTAGATATGATATAGTATACTATATGATCACTAGTCCAGATGTATATTAATCCGTAGATAAAGATACTTTTAAAAAGGTTTTCAAGAGTTAAGAGATCAGTTGGTGTAAGAATTTAAAGATGTATTATAAAACTTGTATTTAATCAACAATATTTTTCGATTTCGGTGTGTCATCCCAAGAAATCTAATTCAAGTACCTGAAGAACGAAAAAGGAAGCCCAAGAAAATGAGGCGATGAGGAGGAAGACGGTGGCTTTGAGGTAATCCTCACCGGCCGGCGAAGAATCGCCGGTGAGGTGAGATCGGAGAAAGTTGATGAAAGGAATTTTGAATAAAATCATCAACATGGCTCCAACCACTATCACTAAAGTCCCCACCACTTTTGCTTGGAATCTTACTTTTCTTATCTCCACCTTCTCCATCCTTTATTTTTTTCACCAAAACATTTAAATCACAAATAATCATCAACGTAACATTTTGTAAGAATTAACCTATATTGTATTTAGCTACCATTATAGATAACTAATAATAAAGTTATGCTTTAAATTTAGGTACCTGCAAATTATGGAAATGATATAGGTCAAAGCAGGAACGATATTGGTGACGGCGCCGGCAAAAGTTGGTGAAGTAAGTTTGAGACCCGCGTAATATAAGTTTTGATCGATCAAAGGCCTGTGGTAAATAATTTGCCAGTAATAAATTCATATACACATCAAGTGAACGTTTTTGAAAGATGATTCAAGTTTTAAGAAGACTAACCCTAGAAGAGCTAGAGCAAAAATTTGCATGAATATTGGAAATGTCATCTTCGGCCTCACTTTCCTACAACACCCAAGTAATCAATATTGACTTCTTATTCAAATGTTTGTATACATATATCCGACGAGAATCAATCGAACTTTCTACATTTCTACATAATAATATGCTACCTCTCGGAGAGTAGAGCAAAAGGTGCGATTGCGGCCGTGGCAAAGGCGTTACGATAAGCAACAAGGACGTAATGGCTCATGCCGCGGTCTAGCACAACCTTAGTCACGAGGTTCATGCCGGCGTATCCGAATTGAAGACAAATCATTGCAAAGTAGGGTTTGGCTGAATCTGACATCTTTAACCCCATGTCAAAAGTTTCTCTCCTTGTTGTATATGTATGGAGGATACAAAATTTTATATAAGAGGAAGGAATTAGGAACAGAGAAGGAACACGCACTTCTGGAGGCTTGTGCTCTTCCTACGAACAAATTGGTGAGAGAGGTTCTTTCTATTTATATAGAGCATTATATTCCGGATGAGTTCGAATGAGCTTTTGTTTTTTTTTTCCTGAAAATAATTAATTATTTATCTATTTCCTTTTTTAGTGACGTTGGCATTTATCATTCCGTTGGAATTCTCTTCATTTTTTTTCCGGCTTGTACCAAATTATTCTCAACAGCGGAATAATTATATCAAATCTGGATAATAATTTAATAACAATTGCTATACAGAATAATAGTAAACCAAAAACCCTATAAATTGAGTGCAAACACAATTTTAACATTTGTTTTAATATATACATATTATGAAAATTCAAAACAAAACCGATAAAAATGGATACGAAAATGATCGATCAGTGAACCTGAACACACACACACGATCATTGTAAGTGTGACGATTGATTTTGATTTTTAGGGAAAGCAAAAAAAAAAAAAAAAAAACAAGTGGACGGAGTGAATTACAAGTGGCAGCAGAAATAAAGTGGGACCCAGGCTTACGTTGCTGTGGGACCCGTAGATGAAATAATGTCTGTAATTTGTTGCAAAAATGCTTAATTACGAGAGTGGATTTGATATTGTTGGTGGGGGCAGAGGCGGTAACCATATCCCATATATAGGAATTTGATCCTAATTAAAATCTTTCCTGTGAAATGCTGATGCAACAATATACAGCAACAGAGAACACCAAAGAACTTAAAAAGATCAGCAACTCTCAGTGATTAATTATTGCAATATGGTTTTCTTATGAAAATCAGGGTGCTTCGTTATGTTGCAAGTAAGTGCTTCATTACTTAAAAAAAAAAAATGTCAAGTTGGGCATGATCCATTTACCTTCTCTAAAATATGCATTACTTTCACTTTTTGTGAGACTATTGGATACTTGACAAAGTTAGGGAAGATTTTTTTTGCAAAACTCATCTCTTCTAATCTATTTAATTTACCAGTGAATATTATTAGTACTTAAATTTGATTTACCAGTAAATATATAAAAATCAATTTAGACGCCATCTACGATGTACCACTAGTAAATATTTGTAAACTTAAATAATAACAATGAATATAATATTTTATTATTTGTATCAGTCGTGGTGTATGTGTCAACGTAACTGTTCCAAATGCTTCGACATATCTGATCGATTCGAATATATTCTGGCTTAAAGATTTTGGGATTTTATGCTTCCAAACTCATGGATCACATGCATAGATTTATAAATCACCCCATGGGAATAAAACATGGATATATATGGAGTTGCTAAATTCTCGATTATATAATTGGATTTGATTAGTAAAAAATTAGAGAGACAAGAAGGATAAAGTGGGATGAAGAATGTGGGTGCGTTTTTGGTTACCAACGAGAAATGGAAACAAAGAGGCAAACAAATCCAAATGGGCATCTAATCATATTCCAGCATTTGCAAATTTATCTCTCTACCCACTCACATTTTGGACCCAAGTTTCTTATTTAATGGCTTCGTGGTTGAAATTTAACACATACACAACTGATTTTTAATCCATAATTCATAAAATGTTAAACATGTTCAAATTAAAGTACACAGTATGACCTCTTACATTGAGATCATGCATGATCTCAATGTAAGAGGTCATGTACAAGAAAAAGGGTATATGTACTCCAATTACTTACCACTTAATTAGCTTAATGATATTCAAACAAATAACTTCACAATTTGATGGAGAATTATTTCCTTAATTAAGCTGGTGTAAGCCCACTCTATCTCATTCATCAGATATAAATTTCATTTTTAAGTATATTTTATCATTGACATTTTAACATTTTACTTTTATTTTTGTGCATATTAATTTTTTTTGTTAATAAACCATGATTTTAATAAAATTAAACTACTAACCTTCTTTCTTTCTCCTGTTTTTTTTCTTCTCAATATGCATTATGTGGATTTGAACACTAGTGTGTGATATACATCGACAACACTAACTGCAAATTAACTAGTATGCTACATTTCATTGTCCCCCTCTTCATTTTGTTTCTTTCATTTTAATGTATTAATTTTAGACCTTAGTCTATAAAAAACAAACCTATATGATTCTATTCTACATAATGAGCAAAATTTATACATCGAAGAGGAAATTCATATAGAATTGAGAGTAGTTGAGTAAGCTTCCTTGTTTTAAGATATTATGCAGTTCTTGACAATCTCCCTCCATGATAATATGTTAAAAACCTCGAGACCAAGCTAATTCGGAGGGTATGAAGATGGTTCAATCCCTCTGCCGTCAATGCGTCTGATGTTCTTGTAGTCTTGAGGATCCTGCCAATAGCAACTAATTTGATTTCTATATATTTGAAAAGAAAAAACATAATTACAAAACAAAACAAAAAATTCCTAACCAAAACTTAACTAGCTGACTCTTATTGGTTTGCGTTTTTTTTTTTTTTTTAACTTTTTTCCTGTGTCATTCTCCTATTTTGTAGTAGTATTTTATAGAAATATTATATATGTAAACACGATTTTCTCGTGTCAAAGTTTTAAAAATTGACGAGATAAAGGCTTGCAAAAGATATGGAGAAAAAATAAAATAAATTAGATTCCATCTTTCAAAAAAAAGTTTAGATCCCACCGGCCAAAACTTTGGAGTACGTAAATATCATTTACTAAATGAACAGAAGACGATATAAAATTATGGGAGGTGGAAAAGCGAAATGGGCCTCTATTGCTT